AAAAACCAAAACGATAGAGCAGGAAACCAGAGATCATTCTCTAGGGTGTACACATATGCACCCATGCACACACACAACTCGGAAATAAATAAATCTAGGTATCAGGGACAAGGGAGATTGCCATGTTACTGGACTAAGTCAAGAGCATGGAAACCTAGATTTAATTTAGCTTTAGGTTTTTTGTATTTATTATTATTATTAGTATTATTGCTATTATTATATTATGCATTTAGTGCTTTGCCTGCATATGTATAGCAGCACTTCCCTCAGAGTCCAGAACAGGGTGTTGGGTCCCCTGGAACTCACAAGAGAAGTTGTAAGTTTCCATGTGGATGCTGAGGATTAAGCCAAGGTCCTCAGGAAGAGCAGCCAATGCTCTTAAGCACTGAGCCATCTCTCCAGCCACTTTATTTCTTAATTTTTAAAAAGGTTACTTTTATTTGTGTGTGTGTGTGTGTGTGTGTGTGTGTGTGTGTGTGTGTGTGTGTGTTTACCACATGTGTGCAGGTACTAGAGGAGACCAGAAGAAGGTGCCAGATCCCTTGGAGCTGGAATTACAGGTGGCTATGAGCCTCCAGATATAGATTCTGGGAATTGAACTTGGAACCTCTGGAAGCACAGCACATGCTCTGAACCTCTGAGCCATCTCTCCAGCCCCCAGATTATACTCACAGTGCATACTGGATCTTGTAAATTCCAGGAAGATACTCACCAACATGTTCAAAGTGGATGCTCTAAGAAAAAAGTCTTTTTCTTTGTTTTTTTTTTTAAAGTCATATTTATGTATTATTTTTAACGTTTTGAAATTTTAAAATAAAAAAGCAACATATTATTCTACAAATATATTAATGTCTATATAAAAGGAAAGATAAAATACGTGTTCTAGAAAAAGATGGGCCTCTTAAAGGGGCAGGTGGTTAGGGATCTGTGGACTTTTAATGCCTACTGAGTCTCTAAATCAATTTGTGGAATTGACAGGACTGTCTATACTTTTTATTTTTATTTTTTAGTTGGAACTCTTTGTGTTACTTTACATTGTGTGTGCAGTAATTTTTTTAACATATTAAACAGGCAGCAAAAGGCTAGCTCCACTCTTCATTAGGCCTAAAGTAAGACCAGAGAGGACAAGAAGAAACCAATCTTCCCAGAAGGGGGTGGGAGGCAAAAGTCCTGCACATCCCATCTGTAGACCCACAGTGGCTCCAAAGTCACTACTGTTGGGCTGAAAAGACTGTATTTGCAGCTTAAAAATGAGAGTCATTAAAAATTATGGTACGCTTATACAATGGAATATTACTCAGCAATAAAAAGAGAATTGTTACAGATATCCATAGCAGCATGTAAAATCTCACAGACATGTTGTTAAAGACCCAGGCACAACCGTCTAATCTAATTTCCATGAATTTCTAGAAAGAGTGGATTATGACAACGAAAGGCGAGAGCAGGGGAGCTGGCTGCAAAGGAGTAAGAGGGGACATGCAAGATGACAGATCTTGAACTTCGCCAGTTAAAATGGATTTAACTTTATTATGATGATGTTTACCTTGGTCTACGCATTTATTAAATCTTGTCATATACCGAAAACCGGTGCATTTTATTGCATGCAAAGTCTATAGTACCCCGAGTGCTGTAACCTTAAGCTTTTGTCGTCCCAGAGAGGATGGTGTCCTTTTCAACCACTTTTCATCTTTCCCAGGTTAATAAAGGCACAGTTTCTGATCCTCTGCTCATTGCAGACAATTAGACATCCTTTGTTGACCTCATGGAGTACCCTCCCCCTTTTCAAAGATAAGGTCTCCTTACACAGCCCAGCTGGTAGCCGGTCTCACACTCTGGGTCCTTCTGCCTCAACCTCCCAGAATTGCAGACCTCCACCACCTGCTGACTGGCTGTTCCCTCTTTCATTTCTTCTTTCCTTTCCTCTTTTTAGGTCTTGCCTTCTTCGTCTCCCCTCCCCCACCCCACCACAGGGTTTTGCATGCAGCCTTGCCTGATTTGACCTCACTATGAAACTCAAGTCATCCTGGAACTTTCAGCAACCTGTCCACCTTTGCCTCCCGAGCCCTGGGGCTCGTCGGTGTGCCACCAGGCCTGGCTCTGTGTTTCATTTTCTAAGTAACATTCTTCGTCAGGCATTTCCTCTGCCTGTTTTTTTATTGTGATCTCTTTTATTTTTCTTAGTTATTTCTGCAGGCCCTTTGCATATTGAAAATATTAACTCTTTGCCTCCTGGGTTACAGCTCCTGTTTTGTATATGGTTTGATCAGTGCTCTTGCAGGATCGTGGGGTAACTGTACCGATATTACTTTCATGATTTCCGCTCTGTATGCTTGTAAAAGTCCTTATCACAAGGATGAAATGTGATTCTTCTAGACCTTATTAGGGATGGCTAACGAGTCCACTGACTGATTTTTTTCAAAACCTTACTTCAAACTGTCCTTAGGAAGGGGAAGGCAGCCCCAGTTGAGAAACACTGACCTACGCTTTGCCTGCTTTCCCCACACAGTAAATTCTCATATACAATAGCACTTCGGTCTATTTCTTAGTTTTCTACTCAATTCCAATAATATGATGCCTGTTCTTGGGCTAGTAGTACTCAACTATTTTCTGCAGTTTTATATTCATTTTAAACTCATTTCTCGTTCTCCCAGACTTTTTTTTTTTTTAATCCTCCCTAGAAGAAAATCGTATTGAACAATCAGGCAGAACTGAAACAAGAGAGACCCTGGCACAATCTGCGGGATGGGATCACCAGGACACCTTAACATCAAGGCAATGTGACCGGGGTGAGGCCCACAGGCCCACAGCTGCCTGGGGCTGATAGGTGAAAAGGCGCCAGATACAGCTCAGAAGTGTATCTCTGGCTCATTGGTGGGACCCAGAGGGAAGGAACTACAGAAACCAAAACCATGGGGAGGGAGCAGAGTTTTGACCTGCGGGTACTAAGTTGGGATGGGGAAGGACGGAGGCAAGACACAGGGGCCGGTTCACAGGGTAGATACATTTCTGCTGCCCCCATCCATAGGCTCACTGATTACAGGGGGTTAACCATGGGGAGCCTGGAGTAGGTGTGGGAGTCCTACCTGCCTGCCTGACTGCTGGATCACACACACAGGCGTGCGCGCACGCACGCACGCACGCACGCACGCGCACACACACACACACACACACACACACACACACACACACACACACACACACACACCAGGGAGCTGAAGCCTTTTTGACCTCTAAGAAGGGTCCTGCCTCTACCAGAGGATGCCAGGATGAGCCAACCAGCCAGGGCTGCCTGTCCAGGAGCCCACCGTCCAAGAGGACTTATAGCACTGTCTCCCAAAACATCAGAGATGTCCGTCTCTTCCAAACCTCTCTATTGAGAGCATGCCTGGCACCGGGTGGGGCTGTTTCAGGATTGTTGCAACTGTGAGGAAGCAGCCAAACTGGCCTGGACCACTGGTCATCTTGAGAAGGGGGCAGCAAGTGCAGAGAGGTTTCATACTGTAGCTTACTGATAGGACCAGCTTCCTGCCTCCATTCCTTGTCAAAGACTTGGACAGGTGCTCCATGGATGAAAATCTGAGGCTACATGCTCCCCATCTCACAAGCAATCCCAGAAAAGTCCCCAAAGTCACCCTGAATAGACTAGAGTTTTTCATATGTCTGTCCTGGATGAAGATAGATTTAACCTGTGTTGACTGGCTTCAAGCTGGGATCACTTACGCGCCTGGCAGAAATCTGCAGCTTCTGGGAACAGGGAAGGGGTGGATACTGGCATACCTCCCATCCCCCCATGTGTGTTCTGCCCCAGTGCTGAAGAAACTCAAAGGGAAGGAGGTTCAAAGTACTGGTCTCATCGAAGAAACTCTCTCCAACATCTTGACACTCATAATCACACCCTCATTACATCCTTAGCATTTCTTGCCAACCCCGGGATTCAAAAACCCTATGAGCCCAGGGTAAGGCTAATAGCACAGGAAATTCATGTGGCCTCAACTCCAGACAAAGTCAAATTCTTACTGCATGCTCTGACTTGTCCCTCAACAAAAAGCAAAACCCTATGTGACAAAGATCATGAAGTAGCATTTTGTCTGCAAAATAATCTGGTGTTATTACAGTCAAAAAGGCCCTCAAGACCCCCAACTGGCTGCCCCTGCCCCCCACCCCCATTCTCACCCTTGCCCCTGAGAGTCAAGAAGGCTCAGACAGAAAGGAGCAAGGAGGTAACCATCCCCCGGTGTCCGCCAATCCAGGGCCCTGCAAAGCAATACCAGGAACAGCCTCCCTATCTCTGCAAAACATGCATCTTCTCTGCCTGCCTGACATTTTCTTATCATCCTACCTCATCAAGTAACCCAGTGCCTCCTACCCATGAACTCTGCCCTGTTCAGTAGAAAGTTCTGAAAAGTCAAGGTGGAGAGGCTGGGGACAAAACCAGGCTTGGCCTGTGATGGTCCCTGTGTCTCAAAGATCTCCTGTAGACCACACTGGGAAAGCCCACATCACATGGCAGCCATTCAGTAATAATATCACTGTCTTCAGTCATGTTTGTGAATAGGGCTGTGTTTAGCCTAATGCTGTATCTTGGCTCATTTTTGGACACTTTAACTAATTGAATTGTGACGGTGGTGGGGTGGGGTGGGAGGTAGGGCAGAGGGAGGCGTGTACCAAAGTACCTTTGTGTCAGGGCACAGTTTATAGGAGTCAATTCTTTCTGCTACCATGTAGATCCTGGGGACAGTAATTATGCCATCAGTCTTGGCAACAGGCACCTTTAATCCACTGAGTCAAATTGTGTCAGTAGTCTCTAAACAATGTATCTACATTTTAAATGTTTCTTTTTATGCTGTGATGTACATGCATGACGTGGACTCCCATGGAGGTCAAAGGACAACTTGCAAGAGTCAGTTCTTCTTTCTACCATATGGTTCTTAGGATCAAACCTAGGTTGCCAGGCTTGACTATGAGCCCCATTTCTAAATAACCTTTAAACACTTGCTCACCTTAGCAGAAGCAATCCAATGGATATCCAGACCCTGTTTCTCTCAGCCTGGTGCACCAGTTGAATGTCTCCGTGTGCTTCCTCCACCCCTGGATGATACGTTCCCTCTTGTGCAGGCTCTGACCTCAAATGGCTTTCTCAGTCTCTCCAAAGCCTTAATCATCTCCTCAGGAAGGTGTAACTTCCCAACTGAGTTATTGTGAGCAGTAAATGAGATAAAAACAAGTGGGGGGTCAATTAATGCCAGTTCTGACTAATTTGTGCCACCCTAATTATCGTCTGATTTCCCTTTGGCCAAACTCATCTCAAAATTATATAACACAGGAAATCTAAATTGTATTTATCCATTCCATAATTACATCTTTTATTATAAATTAAGTATGCACTTCAAGCAAAGACCAGGCCAGAACATGGGAAATGAAGACAGAGGGTAGGAAGTCACGGGCTACAATTCGCAATGTGCTTTTTATATAACACAGGAAAAGTAAACTCATGACAGCTGGATTAGGAAAATTTCAGCCTTGAAATATACACAGTTTGTGATCTCTGCAAAGAATAAAACATTTTCACTTCAGACTCTACCTAGTTTAACAAAACAGGACAGTTAAACCAAGCTCTGTGGAAGATGGAGAATCCAGACAAGGCTCAGCTTGGCTGGCCTTCTCTGTTCCACTGTCATCAAGTAGTATCTCACCTGGGGCTGGAAGACCAACTTCCAAGATGGCTGCCGCCCATGGTGGCAAAAGTGGGAGGTAGCTGGGATACCCCACAATGCACCAATTTGAGGAGCAATCCATTTTTTTTGGGGGGGGTTGTTTGTTTGTTTGTTTGTTTGTTTGTTTGGACCGGGTCTCTCTTCCTATCCCTAGCTGTCCTGGAACTCACTATGTAGCCTCGGCTGGCCTCGAACTCACAGAGATTTGCTTGCCTCTCCCTCCCAAGTTCTGGGATTAAAAGTGTGCACTACTACGCTCTATAGCAGTCCAAATTCTTTGACAATTACCTTTCCCACAGAGGAAGCGATCTGAGAGATAAGCAAAAGCTATCAGAGTCTTAAGGCCTGGACCTGGAGACTAATAGTTGCTTCTGACAATGTCTGTGCAGCAGAGCGGTTGAAGGCCCTTTAGGGAGGAACAGCCCAGGTTCCACACTGTGGAAAGAGGGTCAAAGAATCCACGGCCATGTTTCAGTTTTTCCCTTCCTAACGCCAGCCTTACATGTCGGCGCTATAGACAAGAGGTTTCTCTATGTTCTGCTGTCCACTTGTTCTCTCTCCCTCCTGCACTTCTTGTTCCTAAACCCCGGGTCTCGGCCCCTCTCTCACACTTGCCCATACTCAGCTCTAGTGACAGTCTTGGGAATCCCGCCATGTCTCCATGACTTCATGTTAATCAAGAGCTTTGGAATCCTGCAGACATGAGCCAGATCCAACTTGCTTATTATTTAAGAGTTTATTTTATGTCTTTTATCATCGGATACTTGAGTCGTCAACTGAAATGAAAAAAAAAAAAAAAAAAACCTGATAGGATTGTTAAGTTTAGCAAATAGCATATTTGGCAAAAACTTAAGGTCTGACAATATCAAATGTTAGCCAAGATGCTGATTGAAGACTTAATGCTCGTGAGAGAATCACCTGCTTTAGTTAGCCAGTGTCTCAACTAAAACTAAAGACTGTAACATGCACAACTCCACTCTTGGGCAGGAACACCCAAGGAAATCCTTATAAAAAGCTAACGAATGATTGGAGATGTCATACTTATCATGTTCAAGGCCCTGGGTTCTATCCCCTGTGCCACACCTTTAAAGGACTGCTAATAGAACCACTCCTTTTTTTTTGGAGATTGAACCTAGAGCTAGGCAAGTGTTCTGCCATCTATCTAGATCCTCAAATCAGAAGCACTCTTTGAATTGCCCAAAATTTGAAATCACCAAAATATTGATGAGAACGGAATCAAACTGGCCGTGAGTGTGGCCACAGCCACACATATCAATGGGGGGGGGGGGTGTTTTGCTGCCATGTCAAGCAAAAAGGAAGTGACGTGTGTAAGACTACATAAAGTATAAGATCATTTTCATATGGCCTAAAAACGTGCAAAGTGACATTGTCCATTCTCAGGGATATGTACTTGTGTGTAGTTAAAATCAGAAGAAACATCCAAGTCCTGAACTCTCAAGATGGGAAGTGTTCATCATTTTATCGTCTTACAACTGTGCAACTTCTAAAAATTGTTTATTCTTAGTGTGTGTGTGTGTGTTGGTGCACACATCATAGCACACATGTAGAAAACAGAGGACAGCTATGTGGACTCAGCAGGGGTTCACATTCCTGTCAACCCCCTTCACCCACTGGGGGATCTTATTGGTCCCATGACTTTTAATGTTTTTGCTATGCAACTTTGAAAAAGAATACAAATTCCTCCATTGAAATGCTGCTGGGTGTTTGGTGGTATTTTTGTTTGTTCCTCCCATGCAATGATTTCATTGCACTTTTCAACTCCATGAAGATTTGGGTAAAATGTTGAGTAGCAAGTTATAGACATTATCTTATGAAAATGGTGAAATAAGTACTTCTAGTGTGGGTAACAAATGTGTTCACTATCTTATTCAATTTATTTGTTATTACTTGGTTGGGTTTTGTGTTTGGGTGCTGGAGACTGACCCTAAGCCTCCTACATGCTAAGCTAAGCACATGCTTCATGACTTAGTCATACCCAAACCTGATTTATTTATTCTTTATACTTTTTTATGGATGAAATATTTGACAAAAAGTTGGTATTTTGTCTTTTGGATTTTTGTTTTTCTTTGTTAGGTTTCATTTTCATGAGGATCTCATTCTGCAGGCCATGCTGACCAGGAACTCACAACAGTCCTCCTGGCTCCATCTCCTGGGTTCCAGGATTACAGGCATGAGCCACCACACCCATATTCAGTATGTAACCCAAGGCCCGGTGGGTAACAGCACCTACTTATCCCTTGTATTTCCTGAACTACCCCTCACTCCATCCTTAAGACAGAGAAATGTTCCCATTTCCACATAGCTCAAACAGGCTGAAATTGGGGTCATGAAAAGTACTTAAGGCCAATTACCTGGATCTGAACCAAGGGAGCTGCAATAAATGTTAAGAACAGTGCCCCTTTTTGAAGGTGGTAAATCAAATCTTAACTATGCCAGTGATCACACACTAGCAGTAGATGGATTTTTGAAAGTGCTGATTTGAAAACAAGTCATACCAATGTACACTCCTGGTTCCACTTACCCTCCTACCCTACCCAAAGGACTCTAACCAGAAGTCCTCATGTGCTCAGTCTAAGGTGCTTCCTTCAGGATTCTCAGTCCTGCGAGAACGCTGGAGTTCCCACTAGAGATTTAAACATCTTGACACCCAGGCTTTACCTAGGTGGAATTACAGAATCCCTGGAAAAGACCTATGTCCAAGGTTGAGAACCACTGGACCATTCTGTCCTCTCAGGAGAATGAAGGCCCTAGATAAAGGGTGCCAACTGTGAGCTCAAGCTGTCATTCCTTCTTATTGCTTGAAGTTTACACAATTTAGGTTCATGAAGGATTCAAACACCATAAAGAGACTATGCAGGCTTAGGAGTGTCACAGAGAACCTCAGGGGTTGACACTTGTCTATCTGCTCTCCCCATGATCCTCAGTAGAACTCCAAATCCACCCAGCAAGAAAACCACATCTCGGGCTGGAGAGATGGCTCAGAGGTTAAGAGCACTGCTTGCTCTTCCAGAGGTCCTGAGTTCAATTCCCAGCAACCACATGGTGGCTCACAACCATCTGTGATGAAATCTGGTGCCCTCTTCTGGCCTGCTGTCATACATGCTGTATACATAATAAATAAATAAATCTTTAAAAAAAAAAAAAAAAAAAGAAAAGAAAACCACATCTCAGGGCAGAGTGTGAGGGAGACAAGGAAGCTCTTCTTTACAGTGAGTGCCACTTAATAAGTGTGCGGGGAATGAGAGAACTAGGAATCCGATTGTGAAGTCTAACCTTAGTGGTTAGAGATCCACACAAGATCCACCTGCAGTGAGTGAAGCCACTTGGTGCAGGATCGTCACGTGATGACATCTGACCGTCACCCCTCAGATAACGCACCATTCCTCAGAGCACAAACAGGTTGAAAAGGGAGAATGCCAGCAGGTGCCACCTGAGTGGGTCGGGGAGCCATGGCAGCCCAGCTTCAAGCCCAGCCCGCTCTGCTCTGCTCCTGGAAACTCCTCCAGGATTGTTTGCCAGTGGCTGGGGCTTGCTCTGCTCATAGAGGGCTTGGAGGACACTGGAGAAAGGAAGAGGAACTTCCTCGGGCTCTGCTTCCTTTTCCGAAAAGGTAACCTCGCAATTCTTCACTCAGCAGCGTCTCCTCGCTGTCCAGTCCCCCTTTGCCTCTCACAGACCTGGCCGGTCCTCATAGCGCTTACTCTCATCGGCCACTAGCACTGTTCTTGGCAATCTTGGCTCCCACCCACAAAAACTCACCCATTCCAATCTTCCGCAAGGACCCAGCACACAAGGTCCCCCTGTTGGTAACTCCATCCCTTCCTTTCTCCCTCCTGCCTTCTTCTTGCTGCTTCAGTGATGCCTCAGAGTCCTCCTTGCTGTCTCGGTCACCTGGTCAGCATTTTACAGCTACTTAACACCTAAAATTCAAAGACTAAATTCTCCGTTGAAATAACTATTATGGGGGCGGGGGCGGAGCGGTGGTTCAGGGGGTGAAGTGTCCCCATGCAATCGAGGGGACCAGAGTTCAGATCTCCCACACCCAAGTAAATGTCAGGTAGGTGTAGAAGTCCACCTGTGGTTCCAGCACCCCAGGGTGGAGACAGTGGATCCTGAGAGCAAGCTGGCTAACAAAACTGGACAAAATGACAAACTTCGTGTTGAATTGGGGTGGAGAGTGATTGAGGAAAACACACAAACAATTAAAAAACAAAAACAAAAATTTAAAAACCCACGACTTCTGTCTCCTGATTGGATCCTGATGCAAACTGGTACCAGGAGTGGGATGTGTATCCACCCTCTGCAGTACACATACACCTGTCTAAGGTATATGTACTACTTCCTGCTCATTAGGACTCAGTGGTGCAATCAAACTTGCCATCACCAATGAGATAACTGATGACTTCAGGTACTTGGCTTTGGAGATGGTAAGCACATATTGAAGACGGAACCAGACAGAGAGAGCCTGTCTTTGTACCCTGATCACCCTGAAGCTGTTACAACAGACTGGGATTTCTTGTCATGGGGAGAAAAATAAACTTTCTTCATTCTTGAGGTTTTATGTCATTCACAGCTCAACCTAAACTGAAGCAATACAAGGTCACACACTCCTAGCTCAGACTTCAGATGAAGTTACCATTGCAGAAAAACTGCTTGTCACATCATCCACTCAAGAGAAGATGCGTGGAGGATCGATGCCGAGTAGACTATTACCTTGTCAGGAAAGCTGTAAAGTCCAGGCATAGTGCTACAAGCTTGGAATCTCAGTAGTGGGGAGGCTGAGACACAGGGATGCCACAGACCAGCCTGAGTTACACAGATAACTCAGGGAGGAGGAAGAGGAAAACAGAAAGGCCACAATAAAAGCATGATCAGCAACCGCAAAAAAAAAAAAAAAAAAAAGCCTGCTTAGAGACTAGCATCAGTCACTAAACACGACAGAGGGCTGAGGTCAGCCATGGCACAGATCACATGCATTATTTTATTTAATCCTCATGAAAATCCTGGGACATAAGTGCTGTCGTCATCGACAACCTTTAGATGAGCAACCAGCGCTTAGATAGATGAATCAGCCTCCCAGGCCACCCAACTGGAAGGGGTAGAGCTAGAACCTGAGCCCAGACAGGTCGGGTCCCAAAGGCTGTGCTTCTCAGCCCACTACTGCACAGGGGAGACATCCCACTGGCAGTGAGATCTCTGCTTCCACAGGAAGCTCGGAGTTCTAAGCCTTCCTCCATGTGGGAAGAACTAGACCCATCTAAAGGAGAAACCAGATTCTAAACACAAGTGCTACTTACCGACTCTCTGCTCCCCTGCTGATGTGATTCTTAGAAGGCTGGTAAGGCTGGACACACTGAGGCCAACAGAGAGCTTGCCAGGAGCCAAGATGTCAGGTAAAAGAAAATTACCTTCATTCCAGATCAATAAGGCACATGTGAGACCCGTCAAAGGACTGTTCAACTAATGGGCCATATCGATTAATATTCCTGGGAGCTGGCTCCCCAAACATTTTAATTGAAATTAAATTTAATAGAGGCTCTTAGAACAAGCCAGAAGTCGATGGGTACATGTTTTCAGGCTGGAGGACATTCTCCAGTGGTTCTTCACACCGTACAGGCTCCCTCTGGGACCCCCAAGGGTCTATTGTCCTTCACGCTAAACTACAAAGTACTAGTTCACTTGAGGAACTGAGCTGGGAATCCAGCTGCTAGCCGTTATTGTGCGAAGCAGGACACAGTGAGCTGAAGATTATATTTTTCCAATTAGCACAGTGGGAAACACTGTGAAGCATTCAGCTCCAGCCTGCAATTAGAGAACATTTGCTTCCAGAAATAGAATGAATGGAAGTGGAGACCTGCTATCTAGGTCTTCGGCAATAACATCCCAGGCAGGGAGACCTGCTACCCTTTCCCAGCAAATAACTGCCTTACTCTTTTTTAAAAGAAGCATTCTGCCCTGCACCACAGTGTGCTCGGCAGAGACCAAGCCCCCCAGCATCATTCCCAGCTTTATCAACAGCCCAGCCTTCAGGAAGACAAGGACTGTGGGTGAGCAGCCTGCGTTTCATTTCAGTACTCAATACACTCCATCACAAAAGCAGGTTTGGTAGGAGCGTCTTCACCTTCTCCACTGATGTCCAGCCACCCGACCTTTCTCAAGCCTCTAAACTGTACCATCTCTCAGACGAAACAGTAAAAGTTTAGGAGGTGACAACCGGATGGCTCAGTGAGCAAGCTGCCTGCCACACGAGCGTGAGGACCCGGGTTCAAAATCCCCGGCATCCACATACAAGCCGAGCACGGCAGTGCGTGTCTGAATCACCGCCACTGGGAGGCAGGCACAGGTAAATCCCCTGGAGCCTGCTGGCCAGCCAACCTCACAGAAAAACAAACTTCAGGTTCTGAGAGATCCTGCCTCAAAAAGCAAGTTGGAGGGGAATGGAGGTAGACACTTATGGACCTCTGACCTCCATACGTGCCTGCGTGTGCAAGCACACACGTGCACAGATAAATCAGAAAGGAAACAAGAAACAACAGAAGTTTAAAGAAGTCAGGTTTCTTAGTCCAGGTCAAGATTGGGGCAGATGAGCAATAGAAACTATTTCACACTGTGGGGAATGAATTCGGTGACCCCTATCAAGAAAGCCAGAGCACTAAACACGGTTTTAGTGAAAGCATGGGAAGAGCGTAGGTAATTAAGATGTGTGCAAACATCACGTATTATGGAAGAGGAAAGGATCAGCAGACTAGGCACTCCGTTTTACAGGGAACATCAGAGCATTTACTGAGCAAGACTTGACGTGCTACCTTTGCTCTGCAAGGCGCTTTTGTACTGCCTGAAGGTGAAGGAGGAGAGCAAATGCTTTTATTGGCTGCCAAGCAGGTAATAAAGATTGAAAACCTGGCTTGGCCCGGTGTGGCCCAGCTTGCAACACTTAAGGCCACTGGCAGGACTGTACAGTACTCGTCCATTATGATAGGAGGCTTATCAGTGATTTGAGATTGACACTTAGTCTAGGAATGACGTCATCTGACTTCTAGACTCCCAGGGAGCTTACCAAGAATAAACAGCTCAGGAATGGGGTGGGGGCGAGGGGAGGACAGGAGGTGTTGGGGATGAGTTAACCAAAACTAAGGATGTATGGGAAGCCTTATGCAAATCCACTACTTCATACACTCATTTAAAATATGGTTTTAAAATATATTTTATTATTATTATTATTATTAATTATTTCAAAACAGGGGTTTTCTGTGTAGCCCTGGCTGTCCTGGAACTTGCTCTGTGGAACAGGCTGGCTTGGAATGCAGAGATCTGCCTGCTTCTGCTTCCCAAGCGTTGGGATTAAAAGTGTGCACAACCGCCTCCTGGCCTGAAAAAATATTTTAATGGAAATAGTTACATCACTTTCCCCTCTCTGTTTCCTCCCTCCAACCCCTCCCATGCACCCCCAACTCTCAAGTTGATAGCCTCTTTTTTTTTTTAAATGTGTGTGTGTTTGTGCATACAGAAATATATAAATACAACCTGCTGAGTTCATTTTTGTTGTTTGTGTGTTTATGATTTCAGGGCTAATCACTCTGGATAGGACAACCAATAAGGGGGCCTCATCCTGGGAGAGTCCAATCCTCCTTCGCCCAGCAGTCAATAGCTGCCTGCGGTTGGTTCTTTGTCTAGGGACCCTGTGGGACCCTGTGACGTTTTCCCCTTTCCTCCTTAGCACGTCCATTGATATTGCCATTGTTCTAGTCTCATTTATGCAGCCATTTCTAGGAAAGACTATTTCACAGCAGACTTCCTGGCCCTTACAGTCTTTCTGCCCCCTCTTCTGTGACGTTCCCTGAGCCATAGATGCAGGAACTGTGAATTCACTGGGGCTGGGATCCTCACATTCTGTTGATCTCTGCATGTGCCCGGTTGTGTTTTTTGTTATGACTGCCATTTTCTGTAAAAAGTGGGTTCCTTGATGAGGGACGGCAGCTACACTTCCCTGTGGGGAGAGGGCAAGATTTAGAATGTAGTAAGGAGTTATGCTGATCTAGCAAAGTGGTGCTAGTAGACTTTCTTCTAAGGTCCCTGCCTTCACTAGGCCCAAGAAGCTGGCTAGGTATAATTTTTTTTAAAGGAGTTTGAATGGAGACACCATGCATGGGTGATGAATAATGCTACTCCCACAAACCATGGGCTATTAAATTAAAACTCCAGAGCCACACTCAGGACACCTCCCTACGATTATTGGTCACAGAGCTCACAGAGGTCACCACAGAGCTCACAGAGGTCTCCAAAGAAGCACAAACTATGGCCATTGCTCTTGGTTGCCCTCTAGAACTCACCTATTGCTGAGGACACCACACACTTGGGTTGTAGGACATGGAGCTGGAACTGACCTGGAAATGTCCTTCTTACTGGCTGCTTTCACAGCATCAGAAGGTGCTATACCAGCCACTGGCGAAGCCATCCATCATCTTTCACAGCTGGACCCTGGATGCTACAGCACTAACCTGCCCGGGAAGATGTGCCTATTGTCACAACAGCGGCATGAAGATTATGGGAACTTGTAACCAACCGCTTTCTGATCGAGGTCCACTTTACAGGAGGAGAATTAATGCCTGCTACTGTAAACCTCCCCAAGAGCTCATGGCCCAAGAGGTCCTTTAATCCCAGCACTTGGGAGGTAGATCTCTGTGAGTTTGAGGCCGGCCTGGTCTATAAGGTGAGTTCCAGGACAGCCGGAGCTGTCACACAGAGAAACCCTGTCTCGAAAAACAAAATGAAACAAACAAAAAAATATTCAGTGGGTTATTATTTTTTTTCAGAAGACATGAAAATAGGAGGGGGATGTATTGTAAAGAGGGACTACTGACTGAGTAGGAGGGCAATAAGAGAAGGGAATGGGAGGATGTGCATGACTATGTTCAAATGCATTATAAACATGAATGAAGTTGTCAAAGAATAAACATTTTTAAAAAGAGCTTCATTTTTCAGAAAGATTCCACGAATGTGATGTTAATACACATGCATGTGGACGGAATTCTTTAAAAGGTATGCAAGCTTCTGACAATGCCTTCCTTCGGGTGATGAGCTGAGACGGGGAATGCTGTGAAGCTCTCTCATTCTTTCCTACACCTAATTGTTGAAAACGTTTTCCATGTAAGCATTGAGTACATTTTTTCACCTTGTGCATGTGTGTGGTGTGTGTGTGTGTGTGGGGGGGTGCTCACCTGTGTGTGCACATGTTGAGGCCAGAGGTCAATGCCAGCCATCTTCCTCTGTTGCTCTCTGACTTACGTTTTTGAGACAGGCCCTCACTGAACCCTGAGCTCTTTGGTTAGACTGGCTGCCAAGTTCTGCTGTCTGTGGCCCTCAGCCCTAGAGTTACAAGCATACACCAGCATATCCAGTGTTTTTAGTTTAATACTGACTAGTTTCATGGGGGCAAGAGACACAGATGCCATGGTGCATGCGTGGAGATCACAGGATGACTTACGGGAGTCTGTTCTCTTCTTCCATCACATGGGTCCCAGGCATCAGGGTGTCAAACTCGGGGCATCAGGATTGGCCACAAATGCCCTTCTCTGTCAAGCCATCTTGCCAGCTTCTTTTTTTTTTGGAACTGGTTTTCTCCATTCACTTTTATGTGGGCCCTGAGTACTGAACTAAGGTTTACAGGCTTACCTGGCAAATACCTTTACCTTGCTGAGCCATCTTGCCCACCCATGAGCAGCATTTTACACAGGGACTGGGAACTGAACCCAAGTCCTTACGCTTTCACATCAATCATCTTACCCACTGAGCCACCTACCTTCCAGGCCTGATCTTTCACTTAAAAAAATAAAATGTTACTAACCTATAAACGACTCAAAAATTCCTAGAAAAGCAGATTGAAAACTTTTGTGTTTGATCTCCCTGACATGCCATAAAAATGGCTGTAAAGGCTATCACAGAGGCACAGTGGAAGGAGATACACTATTACTCGGCAAATGTCACAGCAGACAGGAAGACTTGAGCCCTGAAAGGTGACTGCTAAGCTGGCCACTGAAAGGCTCAGGAATTGAAGACCCGGGGCTAGCTGGAACTCTGTTGGTAGAGTACCTGCCTACCATGCAGGAAGCTGATTTCAGTCCTCCAGCACCTCATCACACCAGGTGTAATGCAAGCCTCTATTCCCAGTAGATGGAGGAAGGAGGATCAGAGGTGCAAGGTCACCCTCAGCTTCGTAGTTAGTTTGAGGCCAGCCTGAGCTACGAAACCCTAGAGGAAGGGAGAGAGAAAAAAGCAAAGCAACCCTGTATAACTGGAATAAAACTAAGAAAGCACAATGTATTAATACTCTGCAATTTAAGATACTGGGACATTGGCATGCTTTAGGTTCAGCTTCCGACATTTTACCCTTTGAGCTTTACTGTGCCACGTCTCTGAGATCCCTTACTATCATCCAGTTTGGTCAGTGTCACTCCATCTGGGCCATCTGCATTCTTAGCCTCACATTCCCACCCTTGTTTCTTGATAACTTTACCTTCCCTAAGTCCCTCTGGTTGTCCATACAGTCTCTCAAATGGCAGCCCCACATGTAACTCGTGATGCTCATCTGTAACCCTAGCACTGGTGGGAGGGAGTGGCAGGAGGACCCACAAACCCCAAGGCCAGTAAGGACTATATAGCAAGGCCTTGGGCTCAAAAAATCAAACCAACCAACCAAGAGTAATCCCTCCACAGATCCCAGCCCCTTCGCCTCCCTGTCTAACCGTGTGTGATTTGACTCCTGAGGTTATTCAGTGCCATGACGAATGTTCATTTCTGCCATGGTGCTTTCAACTAA